GACCTAGCCTTCTACCTCCAATGTGGATATGGCTGGTTGAGGTTAGAAAATAAAACACCATTACATTGATGCTAAAAGCATTCTTATACATTGAGAAAGGTTAATTTATTTGAATTCTTGATGTGTCTATTCTAAAAGAGAACTGGAAGAGAAACCATTTTAGTGTATGTGGTTTGACTTGAGGAAGAGAATAACACTCCTCTCATTCTTAGGAAATTCCTGTGCAAGATTATGATTATTGACTTGCTTAGGAAGTAACTTATTGAGGATAGTTAAGACTTTTACTTTTAACCAGTGAATCTGTTTTTATTCATCTTTTGTTTAAAATCTCTGAATTAATAGAAATTTTTCTTCCACCTAAGAAAGTAGTATATAGAACAATAGTGTCTATTAAAAATCTTGGTGGTGATGAAAATGCTCTGTATCTGTGCTGTCCAAAATGGTAACCACCAACCTGATGTGGCTGTTTAGCAATTAAAATGTGTCAACTGAAAAATTAATTTTAAATTTAAATATAAATCACTTAAATTGAAATATCCACATTGGGCAGTTCAAGTATAGAGTGTATCTACCAGTCAATATTCATCTCTTGTTTGAAATATTCCATTGCATTTTCATCCTACATATCTAAATTCTGATTTGGAAAATGTGGCAACTATTATGGTGTTTGATAATTGTAAATTACTTCCAGATAATTTGTTTGAATCTCCAATCTTCATTGCATGCTTTCAAGATAGGTGTTTATGGAACTACAGCCCGGAAATTAGCTTGTTAGCTTATTCCTTTGCCTTTTCTAATAAGTGATCTGTGAGAATTTTTGGTTAATTAGATTTATTATTGAAGTTGAGCTCCTCAGTATTATTGAGACCCAATATCATTAAGCACAGGAGGAAAATATACATTATATCCAGTGGAAAGCCCAAAAGTAGAATTCATGAGTTTTAGGTCAGCAAAAATTCAGGCATTTATGGAAGTCAAAAGAGAACCCATTTCATATGAAAAGTTACTGCAGATCCTCAACTTTTAAAGGTTTACCACATAGTCATTGTATTTTGCCTGTGAATTCCCTGCTCTTTGAATCCAACCTCCAACAGAATTTCAGTAGTATTGCATTAACCTTGTGCATGTGGAGTAGAAATGATATTTCATTTATTAATGGAATTTAAATGCATGCCTAACGTTTTAAGGGATAAAGAACAGAATGTCTACCCACCAGCTGCCTTATTATACTCTGGTACCACTTCAAAATTGGTAAGAACCTTAAGTGAAAAAGTCAATAGAATGCATTTGACTTAATTTAGTTTCATCTAACATGTAAACTCACTAATGCTGTATGAAATATAGACCTACCAATGTAGTCCTGTTATATTGATAGCCTCAGTTCCACAAAAGAAAGAAGGTAAGCATTTGTTTGGTGTTCCTGTGTGTCATGCAGTGTGTTACATCTATTACACCCATTTTTCTTGTTTTCTTGCATGTTCTGAAGCAAGTAACATCACCCTTGCTTTTATGGATGAGGTCATGAAGAGTTACACAGTTAATTAATTTGACCAAGTTTCCAAAAGTAGAAATTCTGTTTAATTCCAAAGTTCTTGCTCTTCACTGGAAAAGCAAGACATATAACTGTAGATGATCCCCAGGTTGGTTAATTCAAGAACACAATGATATCATTAAAAACACAGGGACATTTAATCTTTCCACTATCCCCTCCTAGTCTCAAGTTGGCAGACACAACTCTGGACATCACATCCTTAAGCAAATAGATCCAAAGATGGTACAACACTTTCTTCTAGCACATATCTATATGTTTTTTTTTTTTTTTTAATCAGAAGGAAATGTTTTCCCCAGAAGTTTCTCGTCTCTCAGGAAACTTGCTTTTTTTCCTCATTCAGTGGTCAGGGCATACCCTAACCCATCCCTAAACCATTCACTGGCAAGGGGAATACAACTATGTATGATAATTGATGCCATAGTTGGTATGGAGGAATGGACATTTGATCCCTGGGACAGTAGATTGGGTCATCATTCCAGAGGTGGAGGAAGGTCAAATGCTGGGATTCATTTCAGCTCATCCAACAAGGAAGAAGTGCTGAGGAACACTGATAGACACCTAGCTAGTGATGGCTGCCATATTTGCTTGAAAATTTTAAATGTACATTTGTTATAGAATTAATACCATTTGGCTTTCTCTTCTCAGTGTTGGTGAGCTCTCTCTTTGGTAGATTCTCAATTCTGTAATCACGGGGACTTCCTGTTTTCACCAGTACAAGGTAGAGTCTCTTGTCCTAGAGCATACTTGATTAATATTTACTCAGTTGATTAAAGTTGGCCCATGACAATTAATTAAAATTTTTCTTACATTTTCACTAAATCTAATTTATTTAATATCAACTTTTTCCTTTTAATATCAACACCCTCCCAGTAAAGTTATATTTATTCATTCCAGAAAATGATTAATGAGCCTTAATCATAAAGGTACTGGAATAAAGTTGCTGTGGGTGCTGTGTAATATAAACCCTGTGAATACTGTTTACAATTTTGTGTGGGTGTAGGAGGAAAAAAGAGTCAAATATAAATAAGAGTGGGAAAGAAAACTTGTTTTGAGTCCATTTTATACATCTGTTAATGTTTTGAAGAATCTGCAGTAGAATCTATCATCTTAAAGATTATGAAGTGAAAGAAATGATCTGTATATAAAGTCACTGAGATTCTTAAAGCTCCATTATTAAATTTTTCTTATGCAGACAAATTACTTTAATAATTTTAAATTTATTGTACTATTATACATGCCACTAGTTTCATTAAAAATATTTTCCTATAAAATGAGATCAAAAGACCAGATTTTGATTATGCTAATGTGGTGTGAAGTATGAAGCCAGTGTTCCAAGTCTCAATTTGTTTTATAATATAGACCCTTTTTTTGAGTTTATCTTTTCCAATTAAAGATTTTTTTTTCTAAACTTCCCTTCATTGGATCAGGTTCAGTTACTGTATGTGTTCATAATTTTTCCACTTCATCAGCTCTTATTGCTGACATATAAACTTCCATGTTTAAAAAAAATTGAGATAGTAGAGTTTTGCTAAAAAGAGGTAGTCTTTATTTGCCTGACAAATGGTCAGTTCATTGGGATAAACAAACAGTTCCTACCTTGTTCAAGAATATTTATTTATAGTATTTTCTCTCAGGTGACATGAAAATTCAATTCAACACAAAAACATGAATGATTTTTAAAACATTTTATTGTCTACTAATGATACTTATTTTTAGTTACAGAATTTGCTAAGTGATTGTAGGCACAAATCATTGAGTTCTTGGGTCATTTCTAAAAGCAACTGAAGAATCTAATTCAGTTCTGTGATTTTCTGATCTTTTTAATCCTGGGAAAAAATACCAAAAGGAACAATTAAATAATTTACTAACATTTCTAGTGAGTATTATTTGCAATAACATGTATCTTTTAAGTTTTGTCAAAAAAAAAATGTACAACCATTGAGTTGAGCTATAATTTCCTAAGTTTCTTTCTTATGTAATTGTCATTAGATATTAGGTCCCTAACTTCACAACACTTAAAGCCTATAAATAACAATTGCTACAATTCATCAAGTACTTCCTGCCTGCCAGGCTTTGAGCACATCACTTTAGTTCATTTCCATAAAACAACTCTAAAAATCTATCATATTTATACTAATTCTAAACAGGAAGAAACTGAGTTTTAAAGATTTTGAACTCCCTGCCAAAATCACCTTTCTGTAAATAGCTTTAGCAAGGCATGAGCTCATAATAAAGTAAATGATGTTAATTATTAATAAAGAGATAAATGTATTTCTTATTTTTAAATATTTTGTTTTAGTTGTAGTTGGACACAATACCTTTATTTTATTTTTATGTGGTTCTAGAGATCAAACCCAGCACCCCACACATGTGCTAAACAAGCTTTCTACCACTGAGCCACAACCCCAGCCCTGATAAATGTATTTTCTATACAAACCAAGAATATATTTTAATTAATGGTAGGCACCAGATTATTCAATCCTGGTTAATTTTCAAAAATTTTGCCTATTCTTCTCCATAAATATGCTCACTACTGTGAAGCCATGTATGACACATTATAATTGTTTATTAGGAAACTATGGCATTTATATTTGAAAAGATATTTTTAAATTATCTGCTTTCGTTTCTTCCTCCCATTTTAAAGAAGGGAAAACACCCATAAACTTGAAATAATTTGTACAATACTGCCTCCTCTTTGAGGGCAAAACCAGAAATGGAGCCCAGGTGCCCTGGTTCCCTATCCAGGTCATTTCCACCTCACTCCTTTCTGCTTCTCAGTAGAAAACCATCAATTGCATTTATAAATTAGAGTCATATTTGGATACATATATATGACAGAATCACATAATCTCATAGGGTTTATAGATATGATAAGGATTGTTATAATGACTATCCCCATTTGTTTGAAAGAGCTTCAATGGAAGAACATTTAGTGCTAAACTGTGACAACTTCTTTCTAAAAGCTTAATCTGTAGAGTTTCAGCTCTAAAAAAAGAATATAATTGTGTATTTTAGCCTCATTCAAGTTAGATGTCTACTATAGACAGGTAACCTTCCTTTAGGTCTTTAAAGAGAGCTTCTATCGACCTTTTGTACCTTGTTCAAATATTGGTACCTTCTGACTCCCCAAAATTATTCCTTTTTTAATAATTTAGCCTATTCTAGCTAGTCAAACCTTTTAAATATAAAAACTGATATTTTTTATTGTTACTCTCAAAAGTAAAGGGTTTCAGTACTATATATTCTGGTAAGAATTAAATAATTTCAGAATTTAAACCCACCATAAAAGATGTGATCTTAGTTACCTAGTCATATATATAAACTGATTTATAATATAAAGTTACAAAACATGCTTGTTACTACAGCTTTCCATCTGGAGTTGTTTGAGAATTTAGAACTGCACAATTCTGTTGTGCCATTTTCCCCCAGGATTTGTCTCTTAGCGGCTTCAGTGTATACTCACCACTTCTTCCCGCTTGGTCTTGTCTGTTGCTGGCCAAGCTTCCAGAGGCAAATCAGGAAGAAGGGGGGGCAGCTGCATGGGGAACATCGGAGGCAGATGTGGCTGTGGTGGCAGGGGATGCAGGGAGTGCAGAGGTGGTTGGGGCTGGACGGGCTGCATGGGCTGCATGGGCTGCATGGGCTGCATAGGCTGGATGGGCTGGTGAGACTGTGGCTGAATGGACTGGGGCTGGAAGGGCTGCTGGAAGGGCTGCTGGGCAGGTGGAGGGAGGTTTGGCTGGTGGTGTTGGTTTGGAGTCATGGAGTGGTGGCCAGGAACTGGCATCATTGGCTGCTGGGGGGCCACGGGCTGTTGAGCTGGCACCACTGGGATGTGGTGATGAGGCTGAAGGGTGTGACTCGGGGTATGCTGTTGAGACAGCACAGGGATGATTTGGTGGTGCAGCCATCCACCCATGGGTTCGTAACCATAGGAAGGATACTGGTGAGAAACAGAGAGTCAGGTTTACCATTGGCTCAGTTGACTTCCAACTGGAGAAGTAGCAATGATTTCTTTGTCATTATGACCATATGAATATTTTAGTCATTTTTTTCCTTTGCAAGAATTTTCAACTATGTACACAGATATGACCTTTTACAAACTAAAATTCTCATTAGTGTCTGTATGTGGAGTAGACATGATATTTTGCTTAATAATGGAATTTAAATGCATACCTAAATATTTTAAGGGAATAAAGAACAAAATATCTACATACCGGCTGCCTTATCATGTTCTGGTACCACTTGAAAGGGGTAATCACCTTAAAAGAAAGAGATATTAGAATACATTTGATTTAATTTAGCTTCATCCAACATGTAAACTCACTAATGCAGTATGAAATATAGACTCACTAATGCAGTCCTGTCAGTATTGATAGCCTTAGAATGTGATTTCTACAAAAGAAAGAAGAAGGTAAACGTTTGTCTGGTGCTTCCTATGTGTCAGGCACTGTGTTACATGCATCTCACACATTTTTCATGTTTTCTCACATGTTTTGAGGCAAGTATCATCACACTCATTTTTGTGGACAAGATCATGAATCCTTAAAGATGTTCATTAGCTTGACTGCATTTGCAAAAGTAGTAATTGTGTTTAATTCTACAGCAAGAGAATAACAAGCAAAAAAAAATGACATCATAATGTGATATAGCATTAATTTAATTATTTTTATTTGATGACACAGTGGAATTAAAGGAGGTGGAAACACTGTCATTCTTGAAACACATGTTTACTGGTCAAATATGTCAATCATTTAAGGTTTATCAGAAAATCTTGCCTCAAATTCTTACTAACATTTTTCTTCAGCTTGTATGTATAAACAGACTCATAGACTGTAACCTCAACCTATGAGACAAGTAAAAGTTTCATCCCTTTCTGAAAAGTATATACTTGGCTAAACTCAGATTTAGGGCTCCTTCATTTAATAGTATGGAATTTAATTGGTAAAATTTAAAATTATTATTTTTTATTTTGTTCTAATTAGTTATTAACCTTTGTCAAGTTACATGTGATATAGCGCTTTTCATATCCACTAACTAATCTCTCCTCCAAACAGTATTTTGAAGTGTGGTTATCATTATTTCTAATCTGCAGATGAGTAAAACATTTTCAGAGAGAAAATGATTTACCCAAGATTATGGACTTAGTATGGGCTTGGGAATAAACCTAACCCAATTTCTAGAACTCTTATGCTTCCATTACTCTGCAGAGTCTCTCATGTAGATATCACTAAGTCACTTATCTTTCAGTAAAGCCAATAAGAGACACACATGGAGTGTGAACATGTTAGAATCATGAATTTTTTGAGCTAGAAGGGATCTTAAATAACATCTTACCCAATCCCCACATTTTATGAGATGGGATAAAACAAGGATGTTTAAGCAGAGTTCACTTTCTTTCCTATTATGGAGCCTCCCTAAGTGGTAGTTCATGGTGGATAAAATTATTGCCATATTTAAGAGGAGATACTGAGTCTGAGTGGCCAAATGGGAGGGTGCTGAGACAATGCAGGCTTAAGGCCATCTGCCAGGGCTTAAACTGGGAAGCTAGTAGAGGGAACTGAAAAAGTGGGACCATTTGAGAAACATTTTGAAGAATCAACACACTAGTCTTTATTGAGCTCAGCACATTTTTAACTCAAACAGTGGTCAAAATTAGTAAATAGAAAAATTACCTCATAGCTGAAGTTGATATAACCAGGGTGCCCAGGATGAGGTGGTAGCTTTTATAGGAAGGGGAAAGGAGAATAGAAAGAGAGAAAGAGAAGAAGAGAGAAAGAGAGAGAAAGAGAGAGAGAGAGAAGGGGAGGAGAGAGGGAGAGAGAGAGGAAAAGAGGAGAAAGGAACAGATTAAGTCAATATTGTTCACATTAAGGGAGACTGAAGATACTTTTAAAAAAAATCTATATAGTGCAGAATATATTTGAGATCTACTTTTACTTCGAACATGTATACTGTGTAGGAGGAGCCTTCTTGTTTTAAAGAGGTCCAAAACAACTAAATGACTTTCTCCAGGGCTATAGTCTTATAGTGGGAGACCTGGAAATAGAAGCCATCATACATTTATTCTCCAGTGATCAGACAAGCCCATCCACCCCATGTTGTCAAGGAATCCTATCATATCCCACCCACCAATTTACTTTTTGAAGAAACACTCCATGTTGAGGAGAGGTATGTTTTGTAACACAATTTAAAAATACCAAGGTGAAAAGAATGGTCTCACAAAAGGTTTCTTATATATCAGGTTATTAAGTGCTTAAGTATCAGAAGGATTCCTCATACTTAGCAGGCAAAATAAATAAATAACACATACACCCTAACAAAAGGAACAACTAAGTGGGAATTTTTAATGAATGTGAGAACAAGATGGGTGCGATAAAATAGAAATATCCTGAATCCCTCTCCTGGACAATGAAAGCCTTGATTTATGACATTTAGGCCAATCCTTTTTATTATTCTATCAATGGATTTATGGCAGAAATTTGAATGTGCAAACTAATGAGCAACCTGAATAATTATCTAAACCAGGACTGTCTGTTCTTTCTGAAGTGGGAGTCAAGTCACTCATGCCTGCCTCATGGCATTGTGGATGGCCCTGGTGTACAGAAGAGAGGAGAGAGCATGATGAAGAAACTCTCTCAGACATGGGGCTAATTAAGAGTTGACTATTCTATTTTTTTTTAAATGCTTGTATTTTATAAGAGGAGTTATTCACTCTCATTGTGAGTATGAGTTAATTTAGTCAGGTAACTGCATTTCCTATACTGTCTTGATATAAGCCCTCTAGGAGTGCAGGTGTTGAATCATGGAGTGGAAAGGGGGCTGAATTTGTAATGCAGGGGTCCCTCAAGGGGCTAGGAATTGCCACAATGCAGGATTTCAGGAAGGCAGAGCACAGAATCTTGGTCTAATGGGTAAGAAAGGAAGAGAGGAGGCAGGTATGCAAGCTTACTGGCTTCTGGTTGTATCAACTGCTCTTTATGCCACCAAAAGGCATTGCCTTTATGTGACCTAAGCTCTCTGCCCTTAAGTACCTGTGTCTACAGAGTGGATCAGATTTCCTAGTCTTTGGTTCATTAGAATGTAAAACATACCAATATGTTTTGGGCATAGGTAGGACAACAAAGCCAAACTACCTACTTAGCAGATGTGCCCAAAAGGGTGAGGCTTCTGAGAACAGGGAAATGGTTCAAAGACAGGAATTCCTAACACAGAAATTTTACCCATTCCAGGGTAACAGCAGTGGTATTTGGAGGGCAAGAAGAGATTGGAAAACTTGTGAGAAATTGGTTTTAGATAGTTTTGTATTATTTTCCTAAGGATGATGAAATATTTTCTCTGGAAATCTTTCAAGGGTCCCTTCACAAGATTCCTCCACGTAGAGATGGACAGTGATATTTACAAGTTGTTTCAACAGAACCTCTTGGGAGTAATTCTTAAAATGCAGCACCCTGGGCCCCACCCCAGCTGTACTGAATCAGAACCTTTGGAGGAGGTGTTTGGTAATATACTTAAAAAGAAAACAACTCCTTAAGGTTTTATTCAACACAGAGACATTTAAGTATGTATGTTCTTATACTGTTTTAAACCCTGAAATTTACCAACTATGGGACACATTTTTATTTCTAAGCTTATTCAAGGGGTATTTTACTCACAGGCATAGCAAAGGCTGCTCCCAGGAGGCAGGCAAACAAAATCCAAGTCCCCATTTCTTGATGGTTCTGAAATGTTAACAACATCTTTTCTTAACTCTTCTCAAATGTGAACATAATTAATATTCCATAAAACATACGTAATCTACATTAATATGTTGATAATAAGAAAGATGGGGCAATTTTTGTGAGGTGACTTCATTCATATGCAATTTCAAGTTATCAGTCCATATTATTTTCTGCAGTCACAATAGTTATAAAAATATATTTTAAAATGAGGCTGAGAGCTTAACAAGTTATGTTATAAATATTCTAAAAGATTGGTCAGTTGTCAGAGTGCACAATGTTTTATACTTTTAGAACAAGAAGCCACAGAAATATTTTTGTACAGTTTACCTGGGCATTGCTACTGTTAAAAACAAAGACTAATTACTTGAGAAGCTATTAAGTAATTTTCCAAAATAGATTAAGAAGGGAGTGAGATGTTCCAAATGTTCCCATCTATAGAACTTCAGGCAAGTTCAACTTCAGTGAAGTTCAACACCTTTGAATTTCAGAGATGGAGTTAAAGATGTGATTGAACAAAAAAGAGAAGACAGCACTACTATTCTGAGATTCTTTACTGAATTTTGAATGATTTTTGCCTAAAAGATTCCATCTTCAGTCAATAACATCTTTTTGTTTGACACTGCACTGTCAGGCTATCCCAAAATATTCACATTGTTTTGTCACACAAATTATTGACAGGCTTGAAAAATTGTCAGAAGAAAAATCTTGATGTTTATGTGGAAAGAATATATCACATGTAATAATGCTGACTATTAAAAGTATGCTGAAGTTTTCTACCTCCTAAATCTGTTTTTAATATTTGAGTTAATATGAAAAAAAACATTCTGTTGATGATTCCACTTTATAAAAATTAAATAAAATGGTTTTTGAAGAAGTGGATCACAGCCTGAGAGAACATTATTTTTATTTTAATTGATAAGCAATTAAAATAAACATTTTGTTGAAAAATATGTACTCAAAAAGAGCTTTGGGATTCTGGAATCTAAAATTTAATAAATACATACAAACACTTTACTGCATTATAAAGCAAAATGATTCATCTAAATAAATCAGGGCCTAATTTAATTATGGTCCAACTGAAGAAGTAACTAACTATTGATGGCATAAAGTATTAGAAATGTAGAATATATTTGCATTGAAACATAAAATTCAGAAAAAGGCACAATAAAATATACCAAATTATGAATAAAATCCACATACCTTTGAATGTATTCTGATAAGTTTCTGTCTGAAACTCAGGGATGCTTGATCCTTTAGATTTCTTCCAACTACAAGTCCAATATATATCATTCATGGCATCTAGAACAACCAATCAGGCTTCTGAATGAAAAAAGTGTTGAGTATAACTAAAAATCTCCATATCATGAATTTTTAGAAGCTGTGATCAACATTAAGGCTGTATGTTGTGATTAGTGCATGTAGAGTCTTTCATTACAGGCAATAATAGGTTTAGGAGGGGAAAAGTTTCATCAGGTTGTTTTGAAGTCAGCAAATTAGTTGACAGCACATGCTGATATATTCAAATTTAGTTTTAAGAAGTATTATACCATTGTCTATTTTGCCATTCTAGCAAACAACATTGTTCTTTAAAAAAAAAAAAAAGGTAGATGGTTGAGTTTCCCTAGTGTAATCACAATGGCCACAAGGGTTGTCCAGCCTTTTCAGATCAGGATACATTGATTCAAACCCCCATTCTGGTAAAAACCCAAAGCTCTCCCCTGTATGTCTCTGAGGGATCATAATTTCATGATAATCAGTGCTCTACTGCTGTCCTTTAAGATATTTTCATTGTTCCCTGTGGCTACTCCTTTATCACCACTCTAAAGTGTACCAAAACAGGGAACAAAGTCCCTTCTTCTGGGCCCATCATGAAACCTATTTGCTATCCAAGCAATCATGACCTCAAGGTTATTACTGTAGCAAAACTTATACTAACATAGAAAGTACAAAGAAAGAGACATGGTATATGCCAGACAGCACACTTAAAATGTATTTCAATGCTTACAAAAAATATATCACAGGGAATATTTTCCTTTCTCCCCTACTCCAAAAAGAAACCTGATCTCTCTCTGTATGGCATCCTACCTTTGCCCACACCAGTTCCACTTTCTCATGTTGGCAAACGACAATAACAAAGGCTGGAAAGGATGTCCCATTGTTGGAGGAAATGAGAATGTAACTTCCCAATGTTCAGCTGAAAAACTAAAAAGAAATCTACGATATAACCCAGAAATCCTACTTCTGGGTATATTTCCAAAAGAAATGAAATCAGCATACCAAAGAGATACCTACCCATGACAATATTTACTGAGGCACTATTTACAAGAGCTTTATAAAATCAGACTTGGTACCCATTGATGGGTGAGTAGATAAAGAAAATGTGGAACTCGTACACAATAGAATATTATTCAGTCACTAAGAATAAAATCCTGTCATTTGCGGCAAAATGTATGGAAATAGAGGATATGATGTTAAGGTAAATAAGCCAGACAAAGACAGAAAATGCTGCCTGTTCTCTTTCCAATGTGAAAACTGAAACAGTTGGTCTGAATGTAAAATAGTGATTAGAATCTAGGAAAGATAGGGAGAGGAGGAATAAGGAAAGATGGGATACCAAATACCAAAGCACAATTAAATAGAAAATTAAGTTCTTATGTTTCACAGAACAGGGGGATGACTGTAGTTAACATTAATCTATTTTAAGAAAATCTGGATGAGAGGAGCACAAAGCCTCCAAGCATGAAGAAGTGATAAGGAGATGGAAATGCTAATTACCCGGACTTGATTAGTACATGCTGTATTCATGTGTTAAAACTTTACACTTTACCCCAAATATATACAATTCATACATGATAATAAAATATAATTAATCCCACCCATTATGTATAATTATAATATGCCAGTAAAATATAGAGAAAAGAAAATAATAAAATATAAAAAATACTGAAGTTTTGAAGAAAATACAAAGTTTTAATTGATATTTTTCTGTAAGCCAGTATTTCATTTATGTATAAGCTGACTTTATAAAAGACAACAGATTCACTAGATCAACTACTTATTTTGTTACATGAAGGCTATAACATTTTCAGAGGACTTGTGTTTTTATTTCTCTTGCTTTTTGAAGCTAAATATTTCTTTTCTTTGTTAAAAATGAATCTTAAGCATAAAATATTTTCTTCTATGGCAATGTCTCTGAGGCAAATACAATCAAATGGTCCCAGAATGTGTCTTTATTTACTTGTGCATTCTTTTGGTGTGTGTGTGTGTGTGTGTGTGTGTTGAACACCTATGAATCTCAGACTGTTGGTATTACAATAGGGAACAAATGATATGTGAATTTCTTACTGTTCTTAAAAGCTCTTCTCCAAAATTATAAGTGTATAAACACCCTTGTGAATTATAATTGAGTTCTTTTGCCATTTTTTTGTAATTGTTATTCTTTCTCTTGGATGCAGCACATCACATTTTGCTATACCCAGGATGCTTATGCTTGCAACTTCTCCCCTTCTAATTTACCATTTTTAATTTACAGTGTGCTGAAAAACTACATGTCCAAGCTTGTTAGAAGCATGTGTTCACTACAAATAAAGGAATGTTGTAGGTGAGCAGGGCTGCTCACATGGCTCACCTGTGAGAAAAGTACAAGAATTTCACTTTAATGGCATTGAATTTTACTTCTTGGATCTTACCAGCATTTGAAGTATATCTTTGGAGAAGTCCACTATTATGAGATCTACAAGTCTTTCTTGTCATCTGTAAGAGCTCAACTCTTGAGTCTTCTATTAGGGCAGGCCCAGGATTGTCCAATATTGACCAATATTCTGGAATAATTTCAAGAATAGGTATTCTTATGTAACTGGAGTAAAAATTGGCTTTTAAATGTTTCTGCAGATACTAAAAAAAATGTCATTCTCTTGGATTCTTTTTTAATTGAGATGGTGTGGGAATTGTGCCATCTTCAGAACTTACGTACTTTGCCACTAATTGATTCTGATAAAATTTCAGACTTTGGCCATATTGCAATCCTTGGAAGTTATGAATTGTGTCTTATACCTCCTTGGGAGCTCTTTTGTACCTGGAAAAAAATCTCTCATACAAAGTAATCTCTGGACAGTTAATTGGTTAAAATGCACAAAAGTTATCCATGACATATAGAAAATGTTCTTAGTTGATGTGAAGTCTTCACAGACAAAGAAATCATGTAGTGATTTATATGGATCATTGAATAGCTGAGATGAAAAAGAATGGTCTCCCTTCTATAAAATCCTTTCTCCCACCCTCCCTCTTCTATCAATTTGGGCAGATATTCACCAAAATATTAACCATAGTTATCTAAGACACTCATTCCTGAAAGTCTCTGGGTAACTCAGATTTTATTTTATTTTTTAAACAATCTTTGAATACAATAAATTCAGGAAAAGTGCAAGAAATTTGGGTTATAATATTATCTCATTCATGTTCAGCAAGAGTGAGGAGGGGTAATGCTAGATATTCCATAGACCTTGGGTTTACTTAACATACTTTCTTAGGATTTAGACAATACATGTCTAAATCTTAGGGAAAATAAAAGTCAAATATAAAATCCAAGACAAAAAGCACAATATTTTTTTTTTAAAGTGAGAAAGCCCTTTTGGATTGCAAGTAGGTAATATCTTAATAATATAAACATTCACAGGAAGAATTCATACAGCTTGTAATTTGAAAGGTCTGTAGGCATTTGGTAACTATCTGGTGTAGCAACTTTCAATAAGGGAAATTATATGCACATGGATAGTGTGTTGTTTGGGTTATAATTAACTGGCAACTGTCGGGAGTGAAAATGTTACATCCATGTTAATAGAGGTAGCACAGTAATGTAAAAACAAGCATTTTTTTTCCTGTTTATTTAACAAAATAAACCAGAGTAAATTGCACTTTCCTACTGGGGTTCAACAGACACATAAACAGATCAGTACTTTCTAAATAAAAACAACATGAAAAGTGTGGAA